TTTTCAACACACAGGATTGTGCAAAGGTGACCCCAAATGAGGTCTGACTGTAGGGCAGAATGCCCATATATGGCAGAAGAGTGCAATTTTATAACAAAATCATTGATGGGCAGAAGATACTTTGTGTTGAGTCCATGCTTCTGGTGGCTCTCAAGAGACTTCTGCATTTCCCTGGGGCTGTGTGTGTATAGCATGAAATAGTCCAACAAGTACAATACGAAATTTTCCAGAAGTGACGCAGTGCCTAGGTTATTTCTGACCCTGCAGATGGAACAGTCTATCTCTGCATACCACACTGGGGTTCTGATCCTTTAAACTACAGTATGGGTTCCACACCTGAGACCCACTTTCATTTCATCCTCTTCCAGGAAACAGAGCAACATCACACATTAATTCCTCTAAAGCTAAAATATGAAAAACTGGGAAAATATCTTTACTGTATCAAGGACTTATAAAACATGAAATGTACAAGATCAACAATTCTATCGGAAAATAGCATCTTATAAATAATGGATTTTCAGAAAAATTCTTGTCCTTTAAACATATGTCCTCTAAACAAATGTTAAACTTTATATATAATATGAGAAGTACTAAGACAAGCTGCAAAGAGATAGAAATTTTCTCCTAGCATATAGGTAAAAAATCCAAAATTTTGATACATTACTGTATTTCTAGAACTATGAAGAACAGGAATTGTGATCTATTGATGGCACAATTGCAAAACTGTACAAACTTAATGGAGTTTCCTTAGCATCTAAGAAAATTACAAATGCATTTACTTTTTAATCTGTTTCTAGAAACTTATCTCAAAGAAACACTGGTAAAATATGAAAAGCTTCAAGGTTATTAATTGAAGAACCATTCATAATTGCAAGAGACAAGACTCTAAGGGGTGCATTCTTAGGGAACTGACTGAATAAACTATGGAGTACTCTGCATCTATAAAACAGAATGAGAAAGAGCTGTTATGTTACTATGGAGTGATCTCTAAAATAGTGTTAAACAAAAGTAAGAAAAAGAATCATGAATAAAATAGCATATAGTAAAGTATATTTATGTATTCAATTTAAAAATGGAAAAGTAAGGTAAAAACCAACAGAATTGGTTGGACAATTAGGGAAAGAGAACAAGGATAACAGTCAGATTTCTCTAATATTGCTCTGTAGTTTTCATTTTAGAATCCTATAGACATTTAATCTAATTTTAAAACAAAACAAAAAAAACCCATAATGAAACAGAGGCACATTTTGTGCATTGACTTGTGGCTTTACTACATAGAGGAATAATATCAAGTGAATTTTAGAACAGAGAAGTTTTTAACTGTACATCCCAAGTAGAATATAATTAAGGGTTAAAAATAACCACAATAAAATTTTAAGTGGCTTTTTCTTATATTTTTAGTAATATATGTATTATAATTTTGAGGATATAAATTTTAAATAAGTATAAAATTATATTAATGTAGTAGGATTGTCATAGGATTAATGTAGTAGGATGAAGAAAAGTAGGGAGAAGAAAAATGCAAATGCAAATTAAGATTCAAGGCAGTAAAGATTCTTATAATCCTAAATTTGAACTGAAACCATAATACAAATATGTGATACAATTTCTCTAATATAAAGGACCTAGAAATAATGACCAATCTGCCAAAATTGAAAGCTCTTAGTTCCCCAACAATGGTCTCTAAATAAATTTCCTTCTTGAAAGAACCAAGATTCCTTGGAGAAATGGCTGTTTGCAAGTCAAGATTAAGGAGCCATTTAAGATAAGGTTAGAGACATCTAGTTCTACCTAAACACAAGAAGCTTATTAAAGACCAGGTTGGTCATGGCAGAAGAGTGCAGGAGAAATTCAAAGAGATTCCTGTTTACTGAAAATGGAATATTTTAATTATCATTTAAAAAACCCACAATAGTAGGTTGAAATATATCAATGTATTAAATCCATATATTCATGAAGATACTTTTTAAAACATCATCTTGCTGGTAACATGGAAGATTTTAGGGAAAAAATTATTTGAAAATTGATAAATGAAGGGAAAGAATGAACCATTTGTCCTGTTTTCTTTTGTTTGTTTGCATTATGAGTACTCAAATAGTTGAACTGGAAAACTACTTCTTTAAGGAGAGTACCAGCCAATAAATGCAAAATGTATATAGAATCTGCATATAACTCATTTGTAACTCCTAATAAATGCTAGAAGTAGCTGCTAGCAAAAAGTCCTAAAGCCATTAGGTAGAACAAGAATCTCTAAAATATGGAGTTTCTCAAACTTAAATGTGCATATAAATTACTTAGGGTTACTGTTAATTTCTGATTTACTAGGTATGGGGTTGAGCTTGAAAGTATTTATGACAAGTCACCATGTGAAGCCAATGCTGCTGGTCAAATCATGTACTGCAAACATGCTGATATATTTTTAGTAATATATGTATTATAATTTTGAGGATATAAATTTTAAATAAGTATAAAATTATATTAATGTAGTAGGATTGTCATAGGATTAATGTAGTAGGATGAAGAAAAGTAGGGAGAAGAAAAATGCAAATGCAAATTAAGATTCAAGGCAGTAAAGATTCTTATAATCCTAAATTTGAACTGAAACCATAATACAAATATGTGATACAATTTCTCTAATATAAAGGACCTAGAAATAATGACCAATCTGCCAAAATTGAAAGCTCTTAGTTCCCCAACAATGGTCTCTAAATAAATTTCCTTCTTGAAAGAACCAAGATTCCTTGGAGAAATGGCTGTTTGCAAGTCAAGATTAAGGAGCCATTTAAGATAAGGTTAGAGACATCTAGTTCTACCTAAACACAAGAAGCTTATTAAAGACCAGGTTGGTCATGGCAGAAGAGTGCAGGAGAAATTCAAAGAGATTCCTGTTTACTGAAAATGGAATATTTTAATTATCATTTAAAAAACCCACAATAGTAGGTTGAAATATATCAATGTATTAAATCCATATATTCATGAAGATACTTTTTAAAACATCATCTTGCTGGTAACATGGAAGATTTTAGGGAAAAAATTATTTGAAAATTGATAAATGAAGGGAAAGAATGAACCATTTGTCCTGTTTTCTTTTGTTTGTTTGCATTATGAGTACTCAAATAGTTGAACTGGAAAACTACTTCTTTAAGGAGAGTACCAGCCAATAAATGCAAAATGTATATAGAATCTGCATATAACTCATTTGTAACTCCTAATAAATGCTAGAAGTAGCTGCTAGCAAAAAGTCCTAAAGCCATTAGGTAGAACAAGAATCTCTAAAATATGGAGTTTCTCAAACTTAAATGTGCATATAAATTACTTAGGGTTACTGTTAATTTCTGATTTACTAGGTATGGGGTTGAGCTTGAAAGTATTTATGACAAGTCACCATGTGAAGCCAATGCTGCTGGTCAAATCATGTACTGCAAACATGCTGATAAAAAAAAGAATGGGGGGGGGAGAGAGGGAGAGAGAGAGAGAGAGAGAGGAGGGAGACAGCTCAACAGAGACAGAGACAAGCAGCTCCTGATATTCAAGAGTTGGCCTGGTACTGTCAGCTAGACCATGCGTCCTCCTGTTGAACATAAGAATGTCTAAACACAAATAATGAATATTGTCCAAAGCACAAAACAGACCAAATAACTCCCTATTCGAGCTATTAGAATGAACCACTATTTCTTGACCAGTTATAGCCTTAGCTTAGTCTGGTCTTTCATTCTTCTACATAAGACTTAATGAAGTTGCCAGTCACAGAACTGCTTCCACTTCCTGACATCAACTATTCCAGGGCAAAGCCCTGATTCCTTATCTTTAAAAATCACAAGCATAAATTCAAGTCTTATCATAAGTCCCATTTAACTGTGAGACGACCACAGTTCTACACAGTATTTACTCTCATTGCCGTATGGAATAAACGCATCTTGTTCACTTGCAGATGTGTTCTGATGGTCCTTGCTAGAGTAGCAATTCATGAATGTGAATCAGCTGGACAGCTCAGGCCCTAACCAACATTTGCCTCCTGACATGATGCAACAGAACGCTCACAGCATCGCCTTTAGAGTGATTTTGACAAGAAACAGTGAACCTGAATCGGACTCTAACCTGAATCTCTACTCTAACCATCAGCTTACAATAAATATGAGAAATACAAGAGCACTTTGCAGAACCATATTCAATTCAACCACCAGGCAAATTACATCTTTTGTTTAAATAAATATTTGACATAGAAAATGGACAGGAATTTAAAGGTTAAAGGAAACTCAACAGTCATAACAACCAACCAAAATGTGAAATCTTTGGATCCTGATTTATACAAAGAGCTACACAAACTAATATTGGTAATAACAAGACAATTGGTTATATTTGAACATTGACTTTGATATTGTTAAATCATGCTTTTGAATATTTTAAGTTTTATATAGCAATGGCCATTTTTTAAAATATTTAAATATCAATATACTGTTTAGGATTTGCTTTAACCTAATGCAGTCATGATGAGAGGGAATGGGTTGAGGAGGTATAAATTAAAAAAAAGACCGTATTTGATAATTGCTGAAGGACATATGATGTTCTTTTTACTGTGCTCCTTACTTTTGATATGCTTCCTGACTCCTTTATTCCATAGTAAAAGTTTCACAGTAAATGGTGTTTCAAAGTGTTTTAACTATTTAATTCAAGATCATTTTGTGGCAGATATGTTGATTAGAGAAGGATTAAAGAGTGTGTCTAAAAATGGCCACAAGTTCTAGAGAAATAAACTATAATGACTTTAACCAGTCTCTCTCTCTACTGAAATTGTTTTCTGATTAATTTCTTGAGAGCTATCTAAATATTCACCTATTTATTTTTCTTTAAAAAAAATCACAAACAGATATGTCAACTGCATGTGACAAGGAATAAATAATTATTAGTAGGAAGGTTCAGGTGATGTCTTTTGGAGAAACATTATTCAATTTAAATATTTGACTGTTTACAAGAAGGGTATGTATTGTTTGAACATTTACCTGGATCTGTAGCTGACATCAGTGAACCAAAAAATAAACAGTCAGTGAAATGAAAGTCTCCATTTTTCAGCTGACCAACATATATCATAGCCTTCACAAAACCATACACAATTAACCTGCAAAAGAGGAAAATAAGATCTTTAAACATCAGGCTGAATCCTGTGTAAATCCATGCAGTCATAGCTAACATTCTAATGTGCTTCCTGAATATGTATCACGCACAAATCACTACTGTCCTACCAATTCATGGTCACGCTAGCTCTCAGTTCAGTGTAGTCTCCAGGCTGCAAAAGAGACTTCTACCCAATATCACAATTCATTCACCTAGCAAAAGGTAACAGGACATTTTATAGCACATATCAATGAAAACAAGATAAATCTCAAGGATATAAAACTAATCCGTCAAATGAGGCATAGCAAATCACGCCTGTAAACACGGTGGCTGTGTTGACATCTGTAAATGGATTGCTTTTCAGTTTTCCTTTTTTTTTTTCTGCTGTAAGAAAGGGGTTCAAATTTCAAGTCTGACACTTTAGTGAGAAAGATACTGGCTCCCAGGGCACAGACACCCAGTCACTTCAAAATAGAGGAGCCTCCCTTACTCCTGGTGTCAGACACTTGCACTCCAGCTGGAGAGGCACCATTAGGTTAGAGCATTCCAACTTCAACTAGCACTAAAAATAAATACTGAAGGGTTATACATGTTGATTTTGCAAGGAAAAATTTCTTTTAATGAGTATTTTTTAAAGGTTTTCTAACCTTATTATCCTCACATGAATGCAAATCGCATTTTTGTGTCATATGTTGCCAACCTATAGTTTTGAAATTGTGTTTAATTTTTTAATTGGCTGATTTGGCTACAACCCTAATAGAGAGCACACAAAGACTGGTAATGTGAACCACATCTGTAAGAGACCTTAGAAACTACAGGCAATCAAACCAACATATGGGTGCTTAAATGCTCACATGCTTTAAAAATTGTTCTGTGGTTGTGGGCATGGCTAAAAAGGCTAAAGATCAGATATTGGAAATTACATTTCGACAAGAAAGCAGAAACATCAAATTCTGCTCAGGGGAAATATCTTCATAAGAGACTATATCAGACCATCTATATTTAAATAAGACTCTACTACATATTAGTTCTATGATTTTAGGGTATTACTACAATTTGTTAAATCTCCCATGTATTCATTCATGAGGTAGGGTTAAATGAATGACCCAAAGATTTTCTAAAAATAAATAATATATATTTGATGTCCAGTACATAGTAAATTCTCAATGAAGTAATGATTGCTGCTAATAATGACCAGAATGGCAAGTAACATTTAGTTACAATTTCTACTTCTTCTCATGTTTTAATTCACTTAATGTACACATTGATCCTATAAGAGATGTATTATTACCTACATTTCTTGCATGAAAAAACAGAACACAGTGAAACTAAGTAAAACATATGTGATTGAGTGATGTAGTAACTTGTAAACCCAAACCTGAATTGAGAAGGTCTGGCTCTAGAGCCTGGACTTTTAACCTCCATATTGTATTTCCTAGAAAAAAATGGTTTTATATTTTAAACGGCATGTTATATAACTTAATCTCAACCACCCAGGAGGTTGTTGTTCTAGGTAGTTCAAAGGGGCAGCAAAGTAATATCTTTAAGAACTTTCAAATAACACTATCATCAAAGGTGAGCTCTTAAACTGATTTACAATGAGTTAGTAGTCCACCACAGGTTTACAGAATGTGGATTCTAGCTCAGGAGGCTGAATCAATCAGGCTGCAGTTATTGAAAATTTGCAAAAGTCTGCCATCCGGACATAAAAATGGCTATGAGGAGTTGAGTTCAAGAGGCATCAGTCTTGTTAACTCATCCAAGCTTATCCAGTCAAAAAAATGTGTTTGCTTATTCAATACACATTTATCACTGAACCCTTCCTGTGTTTCAGGCCCTCTGCTAAGTGCTAAAGATGTATTAGTCAATAAAATGAAGATTCTTGTTTTTATCGAGTATGCAGTTTAACATGGTGGACAGTAACAAAAATAATTAGAAATTTAACTTACATCTGTTAGCATGTCTGATGAACATAAGGGCATTCTGAACAATACTGCCAGAGAACTGTACCTCCTTATTTACCCCATCAGCTCTTCTGGCATTAGCTCAACTTTACCATGGTCCTTTTTCATCTGAACTACAGTTCAAACAGTGAGCATCAACAGGCTGTGGCATCAATGTAAACTTTAAAATTTATGACTGTATTCCTGAGTTTTACATCTCTTGGTTAATTTTATAGGTTAGGAATCTAAGGTTCAGAATTGAAATATATTTGTTTTATATTGTGTTAAACCATTAAACTTCATTATATATAAATACATATGTTATTCAGGCTTGGCAAGATTAAAATGAAACCAGAAGCTTTATGTACTGTGGCTTTAAATGAAATTAAAGTCCTCATGGAAGCCAATTTGACAATTTACCTTAAAGTACATATTTTTGAATATTCTATTCTTAAATAGTTCCCTATAGATTTATATCAATAGACTAATCAAATGTGAACCAAAAGGTATATATTCACATTATTTTAGATAACAAATATTTACTACAAGTAAAACATTAAAAGTAAATTATAGCACATACATATGGTGGAATAATATGCAAAACTACTTAAAACTATATGCAAGAATATATATGGGACACAAAAATTAAATTATTTAAAAGTTAAATAATAAATACAAATCATCTAAAATTACATATACTTAAGCATTGAATTAATTAGAAAAAACTAGAGAATATAATCCATTATTAATGTTAATAGCTGTAATATAAATGCAATTGAATGTGATTTTTTTCTTTTTAGCTTTGCTTCATTTTTTCAATTCTTGTAAAATAATAGCCATAATAAAAAACAAACAACAGTGTTCAGCACATTACTGAGTGCTATTATGGAGACAATAGATACTCATTGTATTATTTAGTCCTCATAATCCTCTGAATTAGGTGCTATAATTATACCTCTTTACAAATGAGGAAATTAGGCATCAGAGAGGTTAAGTAATTTACCTATCCTGTAGCCACAGAGTTAGCTTGTGACAAGCCTAGATTTTAATCGAGGCAGATGGACACCAAAGTCTCATACTAACCACAAAGTCTATAATGCTTTTGAATTGTTTTTGAAATTAGGAGAAACATATGTGTGTGAGTGGACACACACACACACACACAAGCACATGTACAATATGCTTTTTTAAAATAAAAAATACATTTACTTATTAACTCTATATCAACTCCTGGACCTAGAGTTACTACCTACCTAGCTGCTTCTTTGAGACAATACCAAAAGACAAAACCATAAAACAGAAGTAAACAAAACACTTCAGTCTAATATGAGCTCATTTTGGTCACTGTTATTATTACTGATCTACCAGGGGTTATTGGCAATGCTAATTATAATAAGCCTATAATTACTGTGCCATCCATTATGTGCTGGGCATTTTTATAAATGGTAGCTATTGTCACTATTGTTACATTATTATTAATAAAAACAACTAGTTTTAAATTCATAAACTGGGAGGTGAACCCATTAGCAGGCACCATATTTTCCCAGTGTGATACACTCTATCAGCACTTGAAGAAAACATTTCACATGGCTTAAGATACAAGACAGATGTAGTCTGATGTGGAAAGGGAATCCAGTGAAGTCCAGTATTTGCAGTGTTTCCCTTGAAGATGGCAAACCTGAGTTTTCCAAGGGCAGTCTGAGGTTAGTGATAGCCTGGGTTACAGGGGTAGGCTGGAGTGGCAAAGGACTCCTAAAATGCAAAAATTCTGATAACATTGATTCCAACTTAGTGTTATCTCACTATGGCAATGGTCACTTTAGTGCTATACTTTGAAAAGCAAAGTGCTGGTGCAATGGACGATACAAAGACAGAAATCCATCATCTGTCCTCAAAGAGCAGAGCATTACAGGACAAGTCATATCACTGCTTTAATAGAAGGCAGTGGGCAAAAGGGAATTTGGGAAATGCTCAATATAATGCTGACTACATTCATTTCACTGAGTGTTTGTAATATATGGACTGATTTTAAATTAAATGAGCTTATTTCACACTATTAAATCTCCAACCTAAAGGCATACTGGAAAAAAAGAAAGAAACCTTCAAAACAAAAGGTTCCAGAAAGTTCAATTGCTTGGATGATTTTAAAACATGCCCTCTTAATCTCAGTATTTTTAGAAAAGAATCTTTTTCCTCCTCTCCTCCTCTGCTTCTTCCTTCTTTCTCCTCTTCCTTCTCCCTTTCTTCTTAAAATGGCCTTTACCAAGTTATGATTATATCAAACTAGAAAAAGTTAGGCTTTTTAAATTTGTTTAGGATATGAAAGGGAAATTGATGTCAGCGTGGAGATAAAGATGTGTGGAGCACTCCTGTTAACTGTCAGAAGAGCCGCATCCCTGACTGTGCAAGCACAGGAAACAGGCCCCAGTACAGAACTGGATTCAGTAGGAAACCCCAGGACATACAGGCACCGGAACCAGTATGAAAGTTATAATGTGAATATAGATTTCTGAGCTCTATGTCCAAATGTCTTCCTTTGGATAGTATCTGTCCCTATTCCTTTGTTCACATTTTATAGATAGTCTTAGTCACATGATTTCTTTTCTTTTTTAAATCATACATTCAAGAATAATTTCCCCTCTGGAGAACTTATAAATTCTCAGTACTGAACTCAGTGGGATTAAGACGGTCTTCTCACCAAATTCATCCTTTCAGTCATTCACTCACTTGCCCATTAACTCCTTCATTCAACAATTAATTACAAGTAGATATAATTCCTAACTCAAGGAACTTAACATTTTATTGGAATAGTCTAACATTTAATAGGTCAGTTATGATTTATTATTTTATTCATATCTTGGTTAAATTATAGGGAGAAGTACAGAATGCAAACACACACACTTCTATGTACTAGGGAATAATGAAGTGGGCTTTATTTTACAAAAATAATCACGTTTAATTTTTAAAGTATTGAGTTTGGGATCATCGGGTATCCAGATATGGATCTCAGTGAAGTGTTTCTTAAGAAACAGATTGGAGAGCAAACACTTTATAGTGTGTT